CAAGAGATTATGTGCAAATAGAGATACTGGGGTGCAAAATAGCAAAATAAATAACAATATAGGGATGAGGTAGTTGGGTGGGCTAATTTCAGATGGGCTGTGTACAGGTGCAGTGATCGGTAAGGTGCTCTGACAACTGATGCTTAAAGTTAGTGAGGGAGATAAGAGTCTTCAGCTTCAGAGATTTTTGCAATTCGTTCCAGTCATTGGCAGCAGAGAACTGGAAGGAATGGCGGCCAAAGGAGGTGTTGGCTTTGGGAATGACCAGTGAGATATACCTGCTGGAGCGCAGACTACGGGTGGGTGCTGCTATGGTGCCAAGTGTCACGTCTGGAGGAAACCTCGCACCATCCTTACGGTGAAGCATGGTGGTGGCAACATCATGCTGTGGGGATGTTTTTCAGCGGCAGGCACTGGGAGACTTGTCAGGATCGAGGGAAAGATGAACGGAGCGAAGTACAGTGAGATACTTGATGAAAACCTGCTCCAGAGCGCTCAGGACCTCAGACTGGGGCGAAGGTTCACCTACTAACAGGACAACGACCCTAAGCACACGGCCAAGACAACGCAGGAGTGGCATGGGAACAATTCTCTGAATGTCCTTGAGTTGCCCAGCCAGAGGCCGGACTTGAACCCGATCTAACATCTCTGGAGAAACCTGAAAATAGCTGTGCAGCGACGCTCCCCATCCAACCTGACAGAGATTGAGTAGATCTGCAGAGAAGAATGGGAGAAACTCCCCAAATACAGTTGTGCCAAGCTTGTAGCATCATACCCAAGAAGACTCGAGGCTGTAATTGCTGCCAAAGGTGCTTCAACAAAGTACTGAGTAAAGGGTCTGAATATTTATGCAAATGTGATATTTCAGTTTTTTTGTTTTAATACATTTGCAAAAATGTCTAAAAACCTGCTTTTGCTTTGTCATTATGGGTTATTGTGTGTAGATTGATGAGGGGAAAAAACAATTTCATCAATTTTAGAATAACGCTTTAACGTAACAAAATGTGGAAAAAGTAAAGGGGTCTGAATACTTTCCGAATGCACTGTATCTGTCAGTAACCCGTTTCCATCCACAATTTTTAATGCGAGTAAAGTCATACCGTATATTTAAAAAAATCACGACACTTGTGATGGAAACAGGACGTTTCTATACAATTTTATAAATGCCGACAGATAATTTGTTCGTTCGACATGGTGGGATCTTTGTGTGTCTGTAAAATGTATAATGCGAGAAATGGAGGTGGAAATGCCTTAATGCGCAAATATTGATATAATAACCATAATATTGAAGTAAACTTGGAGTCACGCCAAGATATGGTGTGTAGTCCTCTCACTACGACTCGGGAAACTGATAAGTTGCGTCAATTCAAATCTGGTATTGGAACAAAAGAGGTCAATACACGTCTTCTAAAATAGACTAGTATTTTAATTAATGCAAAACACTTCAATGGTAAATATGATGTTCGTATATACGGGTCCACTGAAATACCACGCAGGGCAGACAGAGAACTGGTCCATTGTTATGAGTTCTTCTTTAAATACTCTGACAGAGATAGTTCCCGCTCCCTGCTGGCCTATCAGAGTAGAGGCTGGTCCCAGCCCCTTGGCGCTTCACTGTTGCCAGGCATCAGTTGTTTTGCAACTTGTCCAGAGAGTCAGCACTTTTGCAGTACACATGTCCTTGAGCGTTCTAACAAAGAGGCAGTGTGTATGTGGTGAATCACAAGTCTTATCTCCCCCTACTCCCTAACAGTTCCTCACATGAATCACAGCTTGTTAGGTTAAACAATTTATATCAGTACAGTACAAACCTTTTATGTTTAATCATTAATGCTTTCTTATTAAGCTAACAGCACATCTAAAATATAAGAGAATAATTTCCCACAAAACCATGCAGTTTATTACAATGAATGAATGAATTAAATGAATAAATGAAATTTTAATTTTGTGTCAAATTTCCAATTGGAAACCCATCCCTTATGGGATTAATTGACACAAACAAATATTACAATAATTCACTGTGGTAATTCAATGATAATTCTTCTTCCAGTGTTCTCTGCATTGCGCATCGCATAAAGAGTTGTAAAAAATTATGGTAAAAATCAATACATAATAGTAAATAAGGTTATCCAAACAATAATTATATCCCTAGAGCAGTAAAATAATATACATACAGTACATACATACATATACATGTTTCAAGCAGACCACTATAGTCCCCGTGCCCAAGAATGCCAAGGTAACCTGTCTAAATGACTATCGCCCTTAGCATTCAGATCTGTAGCCATGAAATGCTTTGAAAGGCTGCTAGCTCACATCAACACCATCATCACAGACACCCTGGACCCACTCCAATTCGCATACAGCCCCAACAGATCCACAGATGACACAATCTCTATTGCACACCACACTGCCCTTTCCCACTTGGACAAAAGGAACACCTACGTGAGAATCCTGTTCATTGACTACAGCTCAGTGTTCAACACCATAGTGCCCTCCAAGCTCATCACTAAGCTAAGGACCTTGGGACTGAAGTTACCACCCTCTGCAACTGGATCCTGGACGTCCTGACGGGATGCCCCCAGGTGGTGAGGTTAGTCAACAACACATCTGCCATGCTGACCCTCAACACGTGAGCCCCTCAGGGGTGCATGCTTAGTCCCTGTCTGTACTCCCTGTTCACCCACGACTGCGTGGCCAAGCACGACTCCAACACCATCATTAAGTTTGCTGACGACAGGATGACAACCTCTCCCTCAACGTCAGCAAGACAAAGGAGCTGATTGTGGACTAAAGGAAACAGAGGGCTGAGCACGTCTCCATTTACATCGACGGGGCTGAAGTGGAGAGGGTCGAGAGCTTCAAGTTCCTCGATGTCCACATCATGCCATAAAACTGCTAAGTATTTAGTAAAATAGTCAACCAAATAGCTACCCGGACTATCTGCATTGACCCTTTTTGCACTAACTTTTTTGACTCATCACATATGCTGCTGCTCACGTTTACTATCTATCACTTTATTCCTAGTTATATCTAGTTATATCTACCTCAATTACCTCATACCCCTGCACATCGACTCGGTACTGGTACCCCTTGTATATAGCCAAGTTATCGTTACTCATTGTGTATCTATTATTACTTTTATTATTACGCGTTTTACTTTTCTCTTTTCTTTCTCTCTGTATTGTTGGGAAGGGCCGTAAGCATTTCACTGTTAGTCCACACCTGTTGTTTACTAAGCATGTGAAGAATAACATTTGATTAGATTTGAAATAACTTATGAATAAATATAAATATCAAGGGTATTATTCTGGTGACATGATGATTGATGCTTGACTGCTCTTATCCATAAGACTAGCCTACCCGCACTGTATCTGCAAGCTGTTGGCTAGAGCGCACTTACCAAGACCAGAGTAGGCACATTTGCTATTTAAGGCAACAGTTTTTGTAGAGTTGAAAATGCGATGTGAACACATTTAACTTTAGATTTTTATTGGGTACATAAAAATTTATGCGAAAAAGTAGATTTTGTGTGCACTATGTCATCAGGCACTGATTTTTATCCACAACAAATCCATTTGGTGTGAAAATAGGCATATTTTTTCTTCATGTGGATTTTGGATATTTTTCACCAATTGGATGGAAACCTAGCTAGTGACTGCCAAGTGTCAACCACTTTTATCATGATGTGCTGACAGTCATTTTCTTTGAACATATTTCAACAACAAAAAAGAAAAGCATTGCACCAATATTTTTAACGAATCAGCTCTACCTCGCTGTATTTCTACTGTATTTGCAAAGAGAGGTAACTGGTTGTTACCTCTCTTCTGTGGAGCTCATGCGATTTACGCTCTGACGTTTGACGTCAGCATGCGCTTTTCTGTTCTACCATTGGTTCCCCGGTTTAAAGGTAACTTCCCTCATTGGTTTGTGACATTTTGGATACGGATTTCAAATGTGTAGGGAACTGGCGCTTTTTCCATCTTTTCCTCATTCAAATATCAAGAAAGTTGCCGAACCCAGGCTAGCTAGCTAATGTCGGTAGTAGACCAGAAATAGGTGACGTTACCTTAAAGGTATGCAATATTTTTCTTACCTAAATCAGCAAGCGTGTTATTATATTGTTAGCTAGGCTAATAGCTATGTTTAATTTGATTCAGGCTAGTTACGCAAAACTTTTGACGTTAATTTGACAAAGCTGCATCCCTTCTAGCCATGATGACCCTAGTTTGTTGCAACGTTAGCTAGCTAACGCTACTCGCTTGCCATCTTGTCAACCTAGCTAGTTAGCTACTTGACTAACTAGCGGTAGCTAGCCATACCTAGCCTAGCTATGTCACTGTAGTTAGCTGACGTTAGCTAGTTTAATATTTATCTAACGTTAGGTAACTGTGTAGTTAACTTACGTAGTTATACATCTTGCAATAGTTGGCTAGTTACATGTATAGTTTTGACGTTATAGTTATTGGATATTGTATTTTTAAGTTTAAATCCACTTAGCTGCTCAACATGAGACTAGTTAGCATTACCAATGCCATGGGCTGTCCTATGAATATAGGGAACGTTAGCTAGCTAACGTGATGGTGGAAACGACTAAAATTATAACTTTTGAAATCATTTAGTACGTCATATGGTACTTTAAATGCTTATTTTGTACTAACTTACTATGCATGTAATGTTAGTTAGGTATTGTGATATCAATGACCTTTATGCCAAATTAGTTGGCCTCCTGGCTAACTAGCAATGCTACAATGTAAATTTGGGGGGAACAAGGAAGGTGCACTATGGGATTGCAACTAGTTAACTACTTTTTGATCAACCAAAATAACATACTTAGTTAACGTTAATAATGTTACGTTTTAGAATGTAGCTAACTCGAGTAACTGAGTGGGGCAATCCACTGTGTTTTGAAGCACAATTTATGTACTGTAGCTAGCCAGTTTGGCGCGTTTTGATTGTGAGATGGAACTGGCTAATGCAGTGTATCTTCTCTTCCGGCTCAGGGCTACAGTTTGAAGTCAATGAAAATGAAGTGTCTGTCCAACTACGAGGAACCCCGCTTTCCATGTGGCATGGAGAAACATGTCACATACAAGGAGTCAGGCCTCAAAACCTCACCACTCATGGGATGCGTCCAAGTAGTAGTCAAACAACTCTCTCCAGGTGTCACCTCTGCCAATGTTTGCCTCAAGGATGATGTGAAAGGTGTTCACAATAAGGAGAACAACCATCATGACAGGACCCTTGACGAGGTGAACCTAGGCTGTGAAGCATTCGAGGACAGCGGTTACCTGTCTTTACAGAACAGCCAGATAGAGGACTTTTATAACGGAAAGGAACAAGGGGAGTCACTAGGACAGGATATATTCTCCCCATGTACTCCAGTTGCTGATTATCACAAGGCTAAGCATACTGCCTCTCAACTCCCCATACTGAAGTTTCAACATGCCATATGCCAAGAACTCACCAATAGCTTCAAGAGGACCCAGAGCTATGACTGGACTGTCATTAGCCGGCTAGCAGAGGACTCCGGCCTTGAAAGGGTTATTGGTGGGAATATGGGCCTTGAATGTATGGATGTTTTAAAAGCACTGCTGGAGAGGGACATGAAGCACATCCTAACCAAGATCCTGCGTCTGCTTGATGTTGACTTGATAAGGTAAACATTTGACCTTTACTGATCTTATGACAATTGTAGAGGTTTTTCAACATGAAAATAGTTTTGTACTCTTATCATATATTCATGGTAGTTTTTCTCGTTTTCGTCACAGCTGTAGAAAAGTGAGCAAGACCTGGAGAAAAATAATCTGCCAAGACAAGTCTGCACTCCGTAAATGCTACCAGGCTGAACAGAGACTCCGGGTAAGCGCTAACATTTTAAATGGGTTTCCTTTAGTCATGTATATCAGGTATCAGTGGTTTTAATTCACATTGATGGTTTAGTTTTTTAAGCTTACAGAGGCTCCCAACTTTGCTGATATGTTCTTTATTTGCATTTATTTAGAGGCCCTTTGCAGTACTTCAATCTTAATTGCCTAACCATAGGGTAATCCACTGCATGAGTATTGTATGCTAAATAGCAATGTCCTTTTTTGTTATAGGACTCAAGAACCCCTGTAGGACTGGAGAATGTGGGCTCTTTGACGCGAGACGTGACCCTGTCCAGGGTTGTAATGTCCTGCATGCAGAGAGTAGCTTCAACCCCTATCCAGAAGTCTACCAAGAGGATGCTCTCCCAGAGAGAATGCACACAGGCGCCGTACTGCTGCCAGCAATCTCGCTTCAGAGAATACCAAGAGGTGAGGGTTCCTCTATTCACTTTGCATGTGAAGGTTCAGAGGACATGATGGTGCTCAGTGTGTGTGTACTTATTGGGTTGGTCACCTTCCAATCAGTTCCAAAAAAGTCATTGACATTATGTTCATGTTACCAATGATACATATTGTGAGTTAAACTCTGTAGCCTTATACATTGTTTGGTTGTGTTCTCTAGGCTGCCAGTTCGCTGAAGCAGCACGAGTCGCTGAAGCCCTGTAAGCGCTGCGGCTCTCCAGCCAAGCACAACGCAGACGCAATGAGGGCCACCTGTACCCGCTTCAGTTGTGCCTTTGACTTCTGCACCCAGTGCCAGGGCCCCTTCCATGGCTCCTCAGCCTGCCGCACGCGGCTGACCTGGCGGTCTTGCAGCTCCAGAGCCACCCCCATCCTCATTGGCAGCGCTCGCAGCAAGCGGAACATCAGGCGCCTGTGAGATCAACACAGCCTGCGATAAAGACCCAATCGCTCACCTTTTTTAAAACTAACAGAAGTTCTAAGGAATATTTGTTTTATTCATAGGCCTTTTAGCCCACTGCCTCCTCGCCACAGACCAAAGGGATCTCGGCTATTGGAATACTCTGCTTTAGAATACTACTGTATTCTGGGGCTATCAAGTGATGCCAGTTCTCCGGCATACGTCGTCAGAAAGTGACAATCGTACTGGAAGCCCAAAACAAGAACGTCCCACTGAATGCAGGGGAATTTTTCCTAGACTTTTATTTTTCTTAATGAAATGTCCTTGTCCTCTTCATATATTTGTAAGTCTTTTAAATGTGAGATATGTAAATATTTATATTGTTTAAATAAATGTATCTTTCGGGATTTTCAAGAAAACTGGTATATATATATTTTTTTTTTTCTCCAGTTTATTTTTCAAAGCAAAATACAACCAGAAACCACACGACATGCACAAACTTGCTTTCAGAACTTATCAAGCAGAGCATGTTAAAATGCCAATAAGGTCTGAAAGTTACATCATACTTTCAGGGTCAGTTCCCACATTTTTTCAAGGGGCTTGACAATTATATCTTATAATTCATGAAAATGCATCCATTTAAGATATATATTATGTATACAATATATTTGTGGATTAGTTTACTCCTGCCAGATGCCTTTTAAGTTATTGCGCTGAAGACTATCGTGTTATGTTTTTGCCCATTGAAGACTATTCAAAAAGCCTACAAAAGTTCATAAACTACAAAGCTACTTCCTGGAAAATGATGTCACTTTCATAGCATATTGTTTGCCACTTGCTTCGAAAGCTGTAACAACTGGTGAAAGTAAGCCATTCATCCATTAGATGGTGCCATAATGCAGCTCTAAAAACATGTCTCACTATCTGGAAAGATTAAATGTTAAGGAATTGAGAAGACAACATAGTAGTTCCGTGTAGCTCAGTTGGTAGAGCATGGCGTTTGCAACGCTAGGGTTGTGGGTCCGTTTCCCACGGGGGACCAGTATGAAGAGAAAAAAAAGTATGCACTCACTAACTGTAAGTCGCTCTGGATAAGAGCGTCTGCTAAAATAACTAAAATGTAAATATAGCTGAAAACAGCCAAGATTTACACAACACCAGTGATTTACACGTCCTTAATGGTGATTAATGGTTTAATATGATTCACGGTTATACTACCGGTATTCTCCAATAATTAAATTACATTCAATGTGTAGGCTTATCTGAAAAGTATGGTCTTCTACAGCTGGATGATGATGATGCAGTTCTGTAAAGGAGTAGCTTGAGTGGAGATGGCGTTGATGGTACAGCCAGGGAGGGAGAAACAGTCCGACAGGCAGGCACAGAGCTCTTCATCAGGCACCTCAGTCTCTGAAGTTCACAGCTAGTTCTCTGTAGGTAGGTTGGAACAGATCCACCACCGAAAAGTGTAGCACCCACCTACCTATTATGGGCTTTCAATTCATAATTGAGGTATGTAACATATGTTCAATTAAAATGTCTGGGTAATACAGTTTCTCCCCAGTCTGACTGAAATTGATTTCATAGGCCCTATCTGCCGCCTGAAATAATCAGTGGTGCTTGCTCTATTCTAAAGCAACAATTATATAATTTTTGCACCATTTGGTAACTTTTGTCTGCCGGACATATTTAGAATTATTCATATCCACACTCAATCACAAAATATTATTGGGAAATGAGAAAAATAATGCATCATGGAGAGAGGTTGTTTTCTGGGTACATTTTAGAGGAGACTCAAATTTGGGCCTACTCGTAAGTGGTAAGCCTGCATATCATCTTTCAATAGTGATTAGTGATGCCAATCTACATATCATCTTTCAATAGTGATTAGTGATGCCGAATTCAATACGTTACCACATGAAACATGCTCTCTGCATTAAAAGCATTTTGCTGTCATTTAAAAGGGTTGCCATTGTTTTTCTCCTGCAGACCCAATACATCAGTGTTTTTTCCAATTAGCCTCCCTCTGTGTGCGTCTGCCCCGTCCATCAGTGTCTGGCCACAGTTGTGTCAGCTCCCTCTGCACCTCTATCCTGGGGCTATTCTCTTTAGCTGCCTGCTACACAACATGTCAATGTGCAGTTGACTGTTCTGTCACTATCCCTAAGTGTCCTGCCAGCTATGGTGACAAGTAGACATTTTTGTGACTTCCCCCTCCTGCTCTGGGCAACGCCCTCAGTGGTGGAACTAAATGTAGCACTCCTACCTCTCAACCGGCCCCTGTTTATTTCCTCCACTAATTGATTGGAGTGTATGGGCAAAGGATAAAAAATAATTCATATATGTAGAGTATACAAATAAGATAAGATGCCCAAGGTTACCACTGTATCTGTTTGCTATGAGTCAAACATGGCTGTTGATTGGGATTATCTGTCAAATTGGATTATGTTTACTCTTTCTCACATACACAGATGCATTCTTATTCTAGATAGGTTCTTTCTTACATTCACAGAAGCATTCTTATTCTAGATCGTTTCTTAAAGTGAGTAAGGCCATGCAAATTGAATTAAATGTTTAACGGATGCCCCAAATGCCTTCTCCATCTTTCAGGAGACTGCATTTGACTGTGCGTATGTATCAGATGGCCTTTTTGCTCTCAGTACACCAGATAATTAATCTCTTAGCTGCCCTTTCCAGGACAGAGCACCACATGGGTCATTCATTACTCTGATTTATTGAACTCCAGCAACACTGGGACACTTCTCCAAATGAAAGATCATAATTGAAGCAATTAGACTTTCACACAATCAGGTGTTTACCTATCATTTACCTACCCTGTTAACGTCAACAGTGAAATTGTGTATGAGTCATACAAGGCATACTACAGTAACTTATTTTCATTGATCTGATTCTGACAATTCTCTGATATTAGCCTTTTTTTTGCCATGACAAAACAGACAAGTTCCATGATTGTGTTTGTCAAAATCTGCAGCGAGTGTCTTCTGTACCAGCAATACTTTCCCTGTTCCCACAAAGATGGAGAGGTAGATACACTATGTACAGTATACAAACGTATGTGGACACCCCTTCAAATTAGTTGATTCGGCTATTTCAGCCACACCTGTTGCTGGCAGGTGTATAAAATCGGGTGCTGTTATTGTGAAGTGGAACCGTCTAGGAGCAACAACGGCTCAACCGCGAAGTGGTAGGCCACACAAGTTCACAAAACGGGACCGCCAAGTGCTGAAGTGCGTAGTGCGTAAAAATCGTCTGTCCTCAGTTGCAACACTCACCACTGAGTTCCAAACGGTCTCTGGAAGCAACGTCAGCACAATAACTGTTCGTTGGGAGCTTCATGAAATGGGTTTCCATGGCCGAGCAGTCGCACCTAAGCCTAAGATCACCATGCGCAATGCCAAGCGTCAGCTGGAGTTGTGTAAAGCTCGCCGCCATTGGACTCTGGAGCAGTGGAAACGCGTTTTCTGGAGTGATTAATCATGCTTCACCATCTGGCAGTCGGACAAATCTGGGTTTGGCGGATGCCAGGAGAACGCTACCTGCCCCAATGCATAGTGCCAACTGTAAAGTTTGGTGGAGGAGGAATAATGGTCTGGGGCTGTTTTTCATGGTTATTTCCAGAGAAGGGAAATCTTAACACTACAGCGTACAATGCCATTCTAAACTATACTATGTTTCCAACTTTGTGACAACAGTTTGGGGAAGGCCCTTTCCTGTTTCAGCATGACAATGCCCCTGTCACGAAGCGAGGTCCATACAGAAATGGTTTGTCAAAATCGGTGTGGAAGAACTTGACTGGCCTGCACAGAGCCCTAACGGATGAATTGGAACGCCGACTGCGAGCCAGGCCTAATCGCCCAACATCAGTGCCCAACCTCACTAATGCTCTTGTGGCTGAATGGAAGCAAGTCCCCGCAGCAATGTTCCAACATCTAGTGGAAAGCATTCCCAAAAGAGTGTTGTTATAGCAGCAAAGGGGGGACCAACTCCATATTAATGCCCATGATTTTGGAATGAGATGTTCAACGAGCATGTGTCCACATACTTTTGGTCATGTAGTGTATGATGTATGTGTCCTGACTTTCAGGTTTGCCATGGCCTTATAGAGCAGTTTGACAGTCTGAAACCTAGCGGCCAGAGACAGCCGCCTATACAATTAGCCTGAAGGACAGTTTCATGAGCCAGAGGAATTCTGAACATATGTCCCTGTAGTGTGGCTGAGAGGGCATTGTGTTCCCGAGTGGCGCAGTGGTCTAAGGCACTGCATCGCAGTGCTAGCTGTGCCACTAGAGATCCTGGTTCGAATCCAGGCTCTGCTGTAGCCGGCCGCAACCGGGAGACCAATGGGGCGGCGCACAATTGGCCCAGCGTCGTCCAGGGTAGGGGAGGGAATGGCCGGCAGGGAGGTAGCTCAGTTGGTAGAGCATGGCGTTTGCAACGCGAGGGTTGTGGGTTCGATTCCCACGGGGGGCCAGTATGAAAATAAAAAAGGATAATGTATGCACTAACTGTAAGTCGCTCTGGATAAGAGCGTCTGCTAAATGGCGTAAATGTAAATGTGATCTACAGATCTTCCACTCTACTAGAACATTGGGGTAATGCTGGCTCTTTGGGTAATTCTCCAATCAAAGAGCCATTTCGCTAGCCTGACAACCCATCCACATCGCTCCAGCCAAACGCCACGCCCATTAGTGTTTCTGGATTTCCTTTCCTCCCCAACGTCTTGTGGCGAAAACATTCTGACCCTTGGAGACAGAACCCGATGGGTTGGCCAGAGCCGGTCTACACAAATCATGAATCATGTCAAAGACAGTACCCGCAGCAGGCCAGACCTAGTATTCAACATCTTACAGGCACTTTTCAGGATCCAACACCAAGCCATTAGAATCAAAATCTGAAATAAACTCATTAAAATCAAAATCACAGACAAATGGCACAAGGAATGGACAGAAGGGTAAAAAGTAAGGCATCTGTACTCCATCCACCCACCAGTTTCAATCAGCAATAACCACAAAGGACTCTCAAGATGATCAGAAACCATAATCACCCGTCTGCGAATAGAACACAATGGCCTCAATCACTCTCTAAAAGATAGGAAAACACAGGTTCATGTTCTTACTGTCCAGCAGCAGAAACTACAGATCACGTCCTCCTTCACTGTCAAACTTATGAACATCAAAAAGCAAGTCCTGCAGGCTCTAGTTTTGTCTTATCTTGATTATTGTCCAGTCGTGTGGTCAAGTGCTGCAAGGAAAGACCTAGTTAAGCTGCAGCTGGCCTAGAACAACGTCTTGCTCTTCATTGTAATCAGAGGCCTGATATAAAAAATATGCATGCCAGTCTCTCTTGGCTACGAGTTGAGGAGAGACTGACTGCATCACTTCTT